AACAAAAAAAAAAAAAAAAAAAAAAAAAAGTTATTTGCATTCAATACAGGTTAAGTATCCCTTATCCAAAATGCTTGGGACCAGTAGTGTTTTGAATTTTGTAATCTTTACATACACATAATGAGATATCTTGGGAGTAGGATCTAAGTCTAAACATGAAATTCATTTATGTTTCATATATACCTTACAGACATTCTCACAGTAATTCTATACAAAATATTTTAAATAATTTCTTGCTTGAAACAAATTTTGTGTATATTGAACTATCAGAAAGCAAAGGCATCACTATCTCAGCCACCCATGTGGCATCTTGTTGGTGCTCAAAAAGTTTTGAGTTTGGAGCATTTTGGATTGCAGATTTTTGGATTAGGGATGCTCAATTTATATATGATAATTTTGCAGTAATCTTTAGATTGATCCCTAGTCTAATTACTTTTAGGTTCATTTAAAATTACTTTCCACAATGACTATACCTTAAAAATGCCACTTTTGGTAGGCAGTTATTAAATTAAAGTAATTAAACATTAAAATTAAACAATTAAAATGAATCTAAAACTGTCAGGAGAAAAAAATTGAAACTCTTGGCAAGTTTGGAATGCTTTTATTAACAATCTGGTGTAATCGTTCTTGAGAGAAGTGGAGAAAAGGCAATACCAGTTGTCTTTATGATAAAATAGCATTAATAGCATGTACTGACCACTTACTAGCCAGAAACTTTGCTCTACTGATGGGTTATACTATCTGATCATCATAAGTATTCCATAAAGTAGATACTGTTATTATACAAGTTTTACAATTTTATAAGCTAGGAAACTAGTGTCCAAAGAAGTTAAATAGCTTTTATAAATGTCAGAGCTGAGATTTGAGCCCAAGCATGTTGTTAAGAAGGTAATTAGAGTAGTTGTCATACAACAATTCATTGTTCTCCTGATTTTAGTTGACAAATTAAATTTTTATTTCTTTATAACACTGGCTCAATCTACTAGGGGAAAAATTACTCCAATATAACTAAAACTGTGTTACATTTTACAGGAAATAAAACAGACATAATGGCATATTCAGGTTTTATTATTCCTTCATAACTGAGGGAAGCAAGTATGTAGTTATAATATACTGAGTTTACAAAATATATATCCATTGTTTTTATTACAGCAATGTTCACAGCATCTTCATCTGGAGTTGATTCCATATTAAGAAAACACTTTCTTTGCTCAGTTATAAAAAGTAATTCCTCATATTCAAGTTTTATCATGAGATTGCAACAATTCAATCACATCTTCAGGATCCACTTCTAATTCTAGTTCTTTTGCTATTTTCGCTACAACTGCAGTTGTGTGCTTCCTCCACTGAAGTCTTGAAACCCTCAAAGTCATCCATGAGGCTTGGAATCAACTTCTTCCAAACTCCATTAATGTTGATATTTTGACCTTCTCCTATGATCATGAATGTTCTTAAAGGCATCCAGAATGGTGAATCGTTTCCAGAAGGTTTTTGATTTACTTTGCCCAGATTCATCAGAAGAATTACTATCTATGGCAGTCATAGCCTTACAAAATGTAGTTCTTAAGTAATAAGACTGCAAAGTTGAAATGACTTCTTGATCTGTGGGCTGCAGCATTGATGTTGTGTTAGTAGTCACGAAAACATTCATTTCTTTGTATATCTCCGTCAGAGTTTGGATGATCAAGTACATTGTTAATAAGCAGCAATATTTTGAAAAGGATCTATTTTTATGAGCAGCAGGTCTCAATAGTGGGCTTAAAATATTCAGTAAACCGTGCTGTAGAGAGATGTGCTGTCATCAAGACTTTGTTGTTTCATTTAGAGGACAGGCGGAGTGGACTTGGCATAATTTTTAAGAGCCCTAGGATTTTGGGGATTGTAAGTGAGCATTGTAAGTGAGCATTGACTTCAATTTAAAGTCAGCAGCTGCATTAGCCTCTAAGAAGTCAGTCTGCCCTTTGAAGCCAACTATTGACTTCTCTCTGCTATGAAAGTCCTAGTTGGCACCTTTTCCCAATAGAAGACTGTTTTTTTCAGAAGACACACATTTATTGATTAAGTTCACCAGCTTATATGGGCACAGTTCATGGCACTCCAAAACAATTATAAGAGTAACATCAAAGATCACTGATCACAGATCATCATAACAGATATAATAATAAAACAAGTTTGAAATGTTGTGAGAATTACCAAAATATGACATAGACACAAAGTGAGCACATGCTGTTGCAAAAATGATACTGATAGATTTGCTTAACATAGGGTTGCCACAGATCTTCAATTTGTAAAACACAGTATCTGTGAAGCACAATAAACTGAGGCTTGCTTATATTTTACAATAAGCATGTGCTACTATTAAAGAAAAGTATATAAATTTAAAGAGATTTTTAGTATTCTGAATATTGGTAGATAATATTAAAGGACTTCATGATCTTACTTTCTTACACAGAATGTAGTTAGAAAGAAGTTTTGCAGAGATGCTTTATTGCTTCGAATCCCTTCATGTTTATATCAAGATGAAAACGATCATATAGGAGTTACTGATAATAACTTTAGGAGGCCTTGGACAAGAGGTATGTTTGTTTTTATTTCTAAATATTTGTTTTGCAAATTATGTCAGAGTTTTTCACAGTAATTGTTAAGAATATGCAGTGCTTTGCTCATTAAAAACTTACTGCATTTATTCATAACAGAATTCGAAGGCATTTACAAGTTAATATTTTTATTATGGAATTTAGGTAACTAAGTTAGGAATTGGAAATCTTATACAATATTTAAATAGAACAAATAAAAGATATATAGTTGGTGAAGTTAGACTCATAAGGAAGATGCAGCAATAAAACCATATAAAACCATAACATATATAAACTCATATCTGATATTGATAAATGTATAGAAGAAGACATGATAATGTAATGGGATATGAAATTTCAGGAGTAGAGAGTGCTATTTCCTAAGAGTTAGGGAGACATCTTTCTGAAGAGGTGGACATTTGAGCTGAGACCTGAGTGATAAGAAGGTAGCCGTGATGAAGATATGAGGTACAATCTTTCAAACAAATGTGAAGTCCCAACTCAGGAATGAGGGGAGGGTATGTTCAGGTGATGTTGTTCTGACTATAGCTGTTGTAGTGGGAAGTCGGGAGGAGGGGTTGCAGGTTAATGTTTGGGTTCCTTATATTAAATATAAAATAAAATTATGGAAGCTAATGTTTACCATTTTTCTAGTCTCAGCTGTTTCCATTTGGGGAATGACAGACACCTCAGTCTTGGATCAGTGGAAAGCAAGTCTCTTTGTGGAAGATTTCCTTGAGAAGTATGTGTCCTTAATCTTAAATTTCCCTTTTACATTTAGAAGAAGATAAGCAATACATCCTCCAGACACTTAAAGAGGGAAAATCTCTTCCTTTATCTCTTCATGGATTTTATTCTTTTATCTGAAGAAGAAGTCCTAATTTGAACCACAAAGCAGTGGTTAATAGAAGTGATTTATATCTCTTTTTTATCCTTCCCACATTTATCATAAGTGTTCTCTATGCATTAGTGTTACAAAAGACACGAAAATAAAGCAATTATTATACTTTTAAGAAAGTTCTTTGTATTAAAATTAATCTTTTTCTATAGTATAAGTGCAGATGTAAAGCTATTTTCTAATGTATTTGGTTGAAACATTATTTATTATTAGTTCAGTGACTTGTCAAATATTTGAGTACTATCCTGTGTGTTGGATACAAGGTAGAAAAATGAATAAGACATTATCTCTACCTTTAAAAAACACAAGAAAACAGAGAATAGAGCTTTATAAATAATGACAATAAAATGTGCAAAGTGCAATGACAAGAGATAGGCACATAGAGCATATTATGAGGAAGTCCATCTAGCCTGTTCGACATTGTTAATGTAGACATAAAGTAGACATTTTAGCGTAAATTTAATAATTTATCTTGTTGCTTCACTTCATACACAGAATGCTAATCAGACCCAGAATGGATTTCATTATTTTTCACATTTTCAAGTTTTAGTCATTTAAATTATTTTAAGTTGTGCTTAAAAGAAACAAAACGCCATTTAAGTCCAATATACCATTTCTGTTGACTCAGAATTTTAAAGTCAAGTTAGGAAGGTAATATATAAACAGAAAAAATTAGCAATGCAATAATTAAATTCGAATATAAGATGACCAACATAAAGCCTACTACAAAGCATGAGTAAACTCCCAAATAATGAGGAAGCAGAAAGGTGTAATGAAAAAAGTTTTGCACTGTGAATTAAAAGATGTAGATTTCAAGTCGTGACTAGAAAAGTCAAGTGCTAACTACTTGACTAGTCATTATAGTTCCAACCCTCACTTTCTTTATCAGTATGATGATGGATAAGTGCTTTGCAAACTTTACTGTACCACCTGAGGATCTTATTAAAAAGCAGATTCTGAATTGGTCAGTTTGTGATGGGGCCTGAGATTCTGCATTTCTAGTCTATTTCTAAGTGTCATCGATGCTGCTGGTCCAAAGACCAGCTTTGAATAACAAGATACGAGATGATCTCTAAGATCTCTTTTCATTTATGAGTTAGTATGGTAGGGCTGTACATTTGTAAGTAGAAGAGGTCAGCTTCATAAAGAGGTAGGAATTGTGCTTGGGCTGGGTAATGAAGGAGAAAGTAACTTGAGAGAAAGTATTTCGGATGAGGAAACATGTCTGAAGGCACAGCAGCAGGAGTATGCAATAAGTACTCAGAGAGGGTAATGATTAGGCTAATTTGGCTCAAACAAAAGATTCATATAGGAGAGACATGGGAGGTCCTAAAGGAATGGTCACCTTCATCATATCTGACATTCCATTCATTTTGTAGTACCAAGATAGAGTTCAAGGGAAGTGAGGTCGAATCTGTAGTTCACCCAGAATCAAATTTGTATTTCTCAGCTTCCTTGGAGCCAGATGTAGCCATGTGACTTTCTTCGTCCCAATAGGTTATAAGCAAAAGAAGCTTATGCAGTTTCTGGGCAGTGTCCTTAAAGGGAAGGGGCATGCTTTTCTCCTTTCACTTCCTGTTGCTGGAATATGAATGCAATGACTGGCTCCAGGCTTGGACTATGCTGACAAAAACTAAATCTGGTAATGGCAGAGTGGAGCAGAGGAGCCTTAGTCCCTGACAAATTGTAGAACTTCTTTGCCAGCCATGAACTGCTCATCTCCAGACTTTGTGTGTGTGTATTAATGTCGATTTTTCTCTCATGCAGTAACAATTTATTCAGAAGCTACTAGAGTTTTATAATAGAAGTTTAGAATAAACATTGTGATCATTAATATTTACACAGATTTCCTGAATCTTGGTTTTCCTCTCTTGCCTTTTTTTCTTGTTCCTATTTTCCTTACTTCTTAATATTGATACAAAGGCCTCAGTGCTTTTACTAGTTTGCTGATGTACTGTGTTTTAACATGTATCGGCATTTTCTGCTTTGTGTTCCTGAAAAACCTTATATTATTCAAAATTGCACACTAAAACTGATGGCCATACAGAAAAATTAGACTTTATAGTCAAAGCTATGCAACTTGCATTAGAGCACTAACAAAAATAACTCTTATAATTTTTTAAAACAAAGATAATTTTAAAAACATATTAAATTTCTAACAAATAAGTACATATTAGAGTAAATATAAGATTTTTTTATTGAAGAGAGCTTGATGAACAAGCTAAAAGACAGAATTGAGATTATTGAATTATAGAGACAAGGGCAAAATGTTAAAAGGTCAGGGAGAACCATATGATTATCTTGCTAGCTTCCAAGGTAGAGCACATGGCCAAACTGAGCAAGAGGAAGAACATGTAATAATATTTTCTGGTTTTTTTTGTGGCTTGCTGCATTCATTCAGATGCATATAGTTAAATAGAAGACACTGTATTTGCATCTATTTCCTGTACACTTCATGTGAGGCAAGTATTATCTCCATGTTATATATAAGAAACTAAGACTCAGAGTTATTAAGTAACTTGCCCAAGGTTATATAGCTAGTCAGTACTTGAAGTTAAGATTCAAATCCTGGTCTGTCTGACTTCAAACCCTGTACTCTTTTGTTTTAGGCTGTTTTGTTTTTCTTAGATAACATCTTTATTGAGGTATAATTCATATTCCTTATGATTAATCCATTTAAAATGTACAAGTAGTTTTTAATACATCCAGGATTGTTAAACCATTACCACAGTCCATTTTACAGCATTTTCATCAACACAAAAAGAAATCCTGTACCAATTAGGAGTTACCCCCCATATCCCCTTAGGCAACTACTAATCTACTTTCTGTCTCTACAGATTTGCCTATTCTGGATATTTCATATAAATGGGAACATATAATATGTGATCTTTTGTGATTGCCTCCTTTCACTTATTATCATGTTTTTAGGGCTTATCTATGTAGTAGCATGTATCAGTATTTTATCTCTTTTAATGGTAAATTATACTCCATTATATGGATATACTGTGTTTTACTTATCCATTCATCAGTTGATGAACATTTGAGTTGTTTCCTCTTTTTGGCTATTAGGAGTAATAAATGTTATGAACGTTTGTTTACAAATTTTTGTGTAGACAAATGCTTTTATTTCTCTACTTAGGACTGGAATTGCCAGGTCATATATAATTCTGTGTTTAACTGTTTGAGGAATTACTAGATTGTTATCCAAGGAGCTGTACCATCTGTAGTCCCACCACCAGTGTATGAAGGCTACAACTTACTCATATACTGACCAATACTTGTAATCTATCTTTTTTATTATAGGCATCCTGGTGGTGGTTCACTTTATCTCATTGTAATTTTTGATTTGCACTTCCTTGGTGGCTGGCAATGTTGAGCACCTTTCCTGTTGCTTATTGGAGAAAAGTCTATTTAAGTTCTTTGCCCATTTTTAACTGGGTTATTTGTATTTTTATTTGGGTTTTAAAAATTCTTTATATATCTTAGATACAAGTCGTTTATCAGATATATGATTTGCAAATATTTTCTCCTGTGGATTGTCTTTTAACTTTCTTTTTCTTCTATTATTTTTTGTAGAGATGGGGTCTTATTATATTACCCAGACTAGTCTCACATTCCTGGCCTCAAGCAATCCTTCTTTCTTGGCTTTCCAAAGCACTGGAATTACAGGCATGAGCCACTGTGCCTAGCCTCTTTTCACTTTCTTGATGGTGTCCTTTGAAACACAACATTTTTTTTTTTTTTTGAGTTGGAGTCTCACTCTGTCACCCAGACTGGAGTGCAGTGGCCGCTCCCAGCCACCGCAGCCTCCACCTGCTGGGCTCCGGTGATCCTTCCGCCTCAGCCTTCCAAGTATCCGGGATTATAGGCATGTGCTACCACACCCGGCTGATTTTTTGATTTATTGTAGAGATGAGGTCTTGCTGCCCAGGCGGGTCTCAAACCCGCGGGCTCAGGCAATCCACTCACCTCAGCCTCCCAAAGGTGGGGGATTACAGGCTGAGCCACCGAGCCCGGCTGAAGCACAACATTTAAAAATTTTTATATAGTCCAATTTACTTATTTTTTCTTTTGTCATTTATGCTTTTGGTATCATATCTAAGAAGACTTTGCCTAATCCAAAGTCACAAGGATTTACTCCTTTAGTTTCTTCTGAGTTTGCTTTGATTTTTTTTTTTAACTTTTAAATCTTTTATTTTAAAGATGTGGGGTACAATTCGGGGTTAGGTATACAAATATTCATTATGCAGATATCCTTGTTGATGAGGTGTGCCCCACTTCTCCAGGCAGATTCCCACTACTGTCAATCTCACCTCCCCGCAAAGAATTTCTAATGGTGAGAGACAGAAAGAATCAACGATGATACTGACAATTGTTCCCTTGACCTCTGGCTCCCCTTTCTCACTCTCTGATTCATGTCATACTTCCATATTTGCTTCATTTATTTTTATTTTTTTCTTAAGCTAGTTTAAGTGATTCCTGGAACTCAAATATTCTTGAGTTCGTTGCTTCTCTTGTTAAAAGTTTGACGACTGGGCAAGGTGGCTAAACCTGTAATCCCAGCACTTTGGGTGGCCGAGGTGAGTGGATTGCCTGTGCCTGCGGGTTCAACACCAGCCCGGACAACTTGGCAAAACCTCGTCTCTACAATAAATCAAAAATTAGCCGGACGTGGTGATGCATGCTTGTTGTTCTGGCTACTTGGAAAGCTGAGACGGAAGGCTCACCAGAGCCCAGCAGGTAATTGCTGGGGTGGGCTGGAGCATGCCAATGCTCTCCAGCCTGGGTGATGGAGTAAGACTCCAACTTAAAAAAAAATTGACAAATGTTCAGCAGTATTCTAG